CAATTTTCTGATTCATCTGCAAACGGTCCAGATTGAGTTTAGTGTTCCGACACCGGGCTTCAAACTGGCCCACATGAGCGTAGAGGTCATGGAGAGGGCTCGGGGAGGTGAAGTCATGAGTTTATGCTCACACTGTCACAGGGCCGCTCATATTTTTTGCCCCCAGTGACAACAAGCCTATTGTTCTCCCTGTTAAGGCTTCAGTGTGCACAGTAATGGGAATTAAGCAGGGCATAAGTCACAGAGAAATTGGGTGACAGCAGATCAATAGATAGTGGTGAAGCCTCAGGGACCATTAGGGAAGAGGACCCCTTTGTTTGTCCACTGGTGGGGAGAGTCCGTGGATGTTCGGTTGTGAATCAACTGTAGAGACTAAGAACACACTGAGCTCAACAGAGGGGGGGTTGCACAAGTTCATCAGCCTGACCCGTGTGTTTGTGGGACGCAATCATGGGGTCACACATTTTGTTTTATAAATATAGACAATCTGCTGTTGTTACAGGCTGCAATGCAACCAGCTTGAGCTGCAACTAAGATTATTCCCTTTATCGGTTAGTCTGTCAGTTATATTGTGAATTGGGGACAGTTTTAAAAGAGTCGGTTCACACAAAACACAACAAAAATAATTATCTTCAAAAACGCAAAACTATGTGCATGGCTAATGAGAAAATATGCTCTATTGAAATTTTGGGTGAACAAACCCACATTGTCCATAAAAGTCTAGAAAATGTCACAAAATAAAGAAGAAGAAAATCCATTTCATACGTCAGCAGTGCTGTTTTAAGTTTCAGCTCTCCTTTGTCTACAGGAACGAGTACGTTTCCGAGAGCCTGTGCAGCACATGTTTTTGTTGAATGTGGGAAAAGCGTACAGCACGATCACAGACGCCCTGCAGCCCTTCGCGGGAGCTAAAGGATGTAAATGCATTAGCCTTAATCTTAACAGTGTTCAAAATGATTAACCAGATCGTGACAACTCCGATGAAACAGATTCCCCCATTAAGTTCTTCAGGCAAATGCATATTGTGGCCATCACTCCGAGACATTCCCACTTAAATGCACAGATAATTTGTTGTTGCATTGCATTATTCCTGCCCCATAACCAGACCCCAGCTGAGCGAGCAATGTGCCAATGACAGCTAAAGATATTAATTAGTATATCGCGATGGCGGCACATGCATTTTCACTATTAATAAATTCCAAGTCATCGCATTGTGATTTAATTATAAATTATGTAAATGGTTGCCATGAATCATTTAGGTCTATGCATTTTATTAGCTAAATGGGTGAGCAGAATGTCGGCATATCACAATGAGGAGGATTTACACACTTGAGTGATGACAGCACAAGTACAAGAATATTTAGTGACTTGGTCACAACTTCTTGTAGGCCCCCCTGCTAATGGCACAACACATTCCACATTGATGAATAATTGACTAAAGATGATGCTTAATGGCTATTAAAGGGTCATGTTTACCCAGAGGTCTTGGGTTTCTAAAGTTCTTTGGTGTGTACATTAAGTGCTGCACAATAAATTAACAACAAAATATTGCACATCATACTATTCTATCTATTTAAGCTCCATGCAGCGCAATGTGCCACTGTTTCACCAGCAAGGACGGGAGTTGTTTGGATCTTTTCATTTAACGGAAATGCTTCTGGATTTAATGTACGTCGTCATTATTTAAGTTATTTACAAGCAAAAATTATCTTTCTCAAACTTCTCAATTGTGAAAATTCACTACTTTTCTTTGTTTAATCTCTGGATCTTGGACTGTTGGTTGGACAGACCAAGTACTTGAAACTAAACATAAACAAAATATTTTGCTGAAAATATATAATATCCAAACTGGTTCATTTTCTGCTGGACGAATATCCATCAATCGTCTAATAACATCGGCTCTACTCTGAACACATCTCTCATATGTTCAACAATTCAAATGAGTCTGGTGTATAGTTCATCGACGGCTGTCCTCTAGTTAGAGAAGCAATCGACCAATCACAATTCTGTAGGTGGAATTAAGAATGAGGCCGTCATCTTCCTCTGCTGGAGCCAGAAAAACAGCAACAGAAATTGGCTGCATGAATAGCAACGAGATTGGATGGGATCCATGCAGCGCCACAGTTTGTCAATTTACAGAAATAATCTAAATTAAAACTATAAAACCTTAAATATGCATTTTTTTTTTAAATTCATCAACAAAACAAAATAATCCTCTTTCCCAAACAGAAATGTGTTAAAATGAAGAGGACGTTGGGGCTGAATGGATTAAATGTACTAAACGGCAATTCATTCCAATTATCAGGCTTATTTTATAGACTAAAAATGTATTTAAAATGTTAATCAATAGATTAATCAATAATGGAGAAGTTAGCTGCAGCCCTAGAACAATATTAGGGACAAGAAACAATATCTCAATCACACGCTGGACACGCACAATCACTGTAACAGCATAACGGACAGAGGAGTGATGGAATAGCTGACACTGTACATGGAAACTTGTTTCTATTATTTCATAGTGAAATCTATATCAGAGTACAGATATCTACATCTTTTTCTACCACTTTTCTTCTTGTCAAGTTGATGTATTTCCAGGAACAAGGAGTATATTTGGTTTCAAGAAGGCTGTCAAATTGAACCGTCAGGCTGCACTTTTTGATGGAGTCGTATCGCTCGCTCATCTGTCAGTCAAAGAGAAAGACTGCTGCCAAAGTCAAATTCGAGAGTTGAGAGGAGCGGACATTTCATTGTCTGGCGAGAGCAGAGAAGTCTGAGGAGCACAGTTCAGCTCTGGTTTTAAAACTTGTAGGTAATAATGTGTAGTATAGCGAGTAACATGGTTGATCGAGTAGGTCACTTAAAGCTTAACAAGAGCTATGTAGAGAAAGATAATAGACTCAAAGTGCTCTGTAGTCTGTGATAAAAACAGAATATTGCCTCATCACACGTACAAAGACGGCCTACACATTTCGGAGCCCATTAATCATCCCGGCATGTGACATCATAAAACACTTCTTCTCATAGACAGTAGACTCGAGTCAGGCCGGCTCATAAAATTCGATCATCACAACAGTGCCGGACATTGTTCTGGCAGAGCAGAAAATTCCCCGACCCGGGGAAGAGTGTCTCTCTGCTGGATGGTTACAGTGTTTACTCACACAAGCGGCTTACCCCGAGGCGAGCTCCACACCTCAGCTGCCCAGCTGGAAGCGCCCCCCCCCCCCCCCCCCCCGGAGGAAGACTCCGCCCTCCCCTGCTGTCCAGACTCTGTCAGTCAGGCGGCGGCGGCGGCAGGGCCAGCAGCCACAGCTTCCTGCGAGAAGAGAGCGTCAGATTGCCGGCTGTCCATCAGGTAGAACAGTTAGGACGAGGTGTCGTACAGAAAACAGCACTTCATCCACATCGTAGAATGAATACTAATCTCTGCACACTGTCCTTATCGAACAGGAAGCTGTGCGATCACGGTCGCCTTACAATGTATTGAGTGACGCATGATTTGTGGCAATTATGAGAGTAAATTAAAGCTGCAATCATTAACAATAGCTCTCAAATGCAGATTACTGAATACAAGCCCGATTGTAACAATTTTAACAACGTCCTTACTTTTCACATAAAAGAGTCCCAGTGTGAAACAGTAAAGAAACTCTGGCCCCCGTGGTTGATTGGCCGATAATCCCCTTAAAGTCAATTATCTACAGCACTTAACCCTTCACTGTAGTAAGCCTAATGATGTGATCTGCCTCTCACCCCATGCTCATGTGTGTCACGCAGATGTAATCAAGCAACAGCCCTCCTCGCACAAAGCACATTGGTCTGAAGACACAACTTCTTATGGGCAATTGTAAACACACCTTCATATAAAACACACACTACCAGAAACAAAAACAGACTCGCACACACACTACCAGAAACAAAAACAGACTCACACACAGCATGTAACCCATTATGGTCTCTAATAAACTAGACCAGACTTAATGTCATGTAGACTTGTATATACACACAATACCTTTATGTCTCTGATGCTTAATGTATCAAACCAGAACTATTTTTTATTAAAAAGGTCAACCAGATTATCTACATGTGAATAAACCAATAAAAATACTGAAAAGGAGAACATAACGTACTTTCCTATCACAAAATGAGATGCATTTATCAGTCAAATACCAAACTATATTTTTCGTCTGTATTATTTACTGGAGACAAACTGTGCAACATCGGCATGAGTGAGCTTCACTGCCTTGACAACACTGCCCCTCTCTGTATGAAAACATGTATTACAAGTCCTGACCTATTTATCTCATTTATAGCAAGAAGTGCAATATTTTATCTTAAAAGTCTTTTAATCAGCTTTGTCATAATATTCAAGTTCGAGCCAATACTGGATTTGTATTAAAAGGTCAATAATCCTGATATATAACCGCAGTTCTTCACCGATCCCCCCGGGTATTTGACATACAGAAAGTCAGAAGATGAATTCACTTTTTACATTTAATTGTTTTTATAACAAACTCCATTCATTCATATTTGAAAGCACCTGAATACATTATGTTACTACAGTAGTCAGACAGCTGTGACTAGTTCCTTTGAATATTTAGACACAGATTAATGTTGTTTACATGTTAATGCATGAATGGTACTTACACTTTTGAAACTTGCTTATTTTTGCAGATGGTGCGTTTGCACATTTAATCAGCTGTATTTTTGACTCGTAACAGATTAAATTCACAGGGTGGTGTCGATACATTGACTGATGTACAGGAGGAATAGTTTGTCTACCACTGTTCAGTTGCACACATTACATTATCATCGGAACATGAACGCAGCAGTGACATGGGCGTCTGTTTCACAATCCTATCATGAGACAGGCTGCAGGTCATATGACTGTTATCTCTGCATGACTGACCGAATCATTTCTGCACAAGTTCATTTGGGCGCACACTCGCACGCAAGCAACAGTCTTCTTAGAGGCAACTTGGTGAGTTGTTTTTCATAAAACAGTTTGCAGCTACGGGTGTGTTTTATGTCTCAGCTCTGCACGATATTTGTTATTCATATCAAGAGGAGTTTGTCTAGTTAAATCTGCATTCGACTCATCACCTTTTTTCGTGCGATTAGCTTTAGTTAAGAGTCGCTAACACACAACAGCAGCAATAGTCGAATGGTGGTAGCTACACTTATACAATACACCGTAAGAAACGCAACAGAAGTGTCCATACTGGTCAAAGCGATTTCATCAGGGCGGCGCTTCGCCTCTATTAGCAGTATTACGGTACAGCGCTAAATCAACACGGAAGAGCTTTAGCTGGCTGGGATCACGTTTATTGTCGTGTGGTAAACGCAGTTGTCGTTTTAAATCATGTCTTTTCGGAGCATTTCTAAAGAGGCACTGGCTGGATCCATCACACTGGGAGTTGTGTTGCTCGCCGGTTATTTCTTTGGTAAGTGAGAAGCCCTAAAGGATCGACTTTAAAGCGTTATAACGTTAGAATTGAGTGACCTAAATATTTGTCTCACCTAATGCTACCGTAAAACACACCAGCTCGTGTGTTTCATGAGTAAGAGGGAAGACATAAGCAAATGTATTAATATGAATGTAGTTATTAGTAATTGAACTAAACATGTATGCATGATTATGTCAATCCCATGTTTCACCTCATACAGTATGTTTTATATGGTGTTATGTGTTGTACAGAGAACCTGCCTCAGCTGTGTGCAGCACTATTACCCAAGAAAAAGTTTACAGATAAAACCCAGTACAAAGTCCCCGTCTACTCAGTCATTCATTACCTTCCAGCCTCTATTGACCCTCAGAACAGCAAACAAAACTGCAAAGCCCTCGATGTAGAAACAGAGAAAACGTAGGGACGCAAACAGAATGTGTTAGTCGAGACCGATTCATCGTTTTTCCCTCAAGATGTCAAGCTATACCGTCTTCATTTCTTTATCTGGATCTGTTGCTGCCGATGCAATAATTGCATTTCCCCACTGAGACCATTTATGTTTAATCTAATCAAATAACTGCTGTACATCAACAAGACCAGACGTCAGTTTCCTGAAAGATGTATAAACGGCACGGCGTCACGGTGCTCTTAAGGTCCTCATAATTGTTTCATGGTTCACGTTTTGTCCCCAGGGAAAAAGAAATCTTCCAGAATGAGCATCTCCAAAAGTCACTGCGGTGGGAAAGACGACCCGCTGCTGCAGTACGTTCTCAATAACTCCTTGAGGGAGCATCCGGCCCTGAAGAAACTCAGACTGGTGAGCACGTCTTCTTGGCGTCCGGAATACAGATGTGCTCTGGCACAATTAAGCGCTCGATGTCATGAGACGTAGTCACGTTTCGCGGACTAAATTGTTCAAACTAATGCAACTGGTTTCCGCTCATTGCTTTCAGAGGACAATGGAACACTCCTGGAACATCATGATGGTCGCCTGTGAGCAGTCGCAGTTCATGGCCAATCTGGCAAAACTAATCAAAACCAAGAAAGCCTTAGAGATCGGTAAGGGCCTCATATCTAGTCTGTGAAACACGTACGCCTCGAATCACTTCCACGATCCTTAACCTGTTCAGGGACTATGAGTACCTATACATGCTTGGAGTCCGACTTTGAATTCTAGTGTAGTTAGTCTCATGTTTACGTATTAAATTACTCTAATATATACATTTATTTTGAACAGACGCATTTAGTGCACTTAGGTTATGATGCACTTGTACACTCTGAATGTTTTTATATATCTATAGTGTACGGGTGCAAATATAAAACATCTATAGTGTGCATATATAGATGTTTTATGTTTTCATCTTGATGCTTTTGTGGGAGTTTTTTTCATGCATTTTGTCACTTTTATGCTCTGGAGCTGAGGAACTGTCATTTCATTTTGAAATGAAAAACAAAACACTTGAAACTTGAATCAAATTACACTGAAGACGAGGACGCGTCACAGTAAATAAAGACGTGTCCCTTCATCGCACTGCAGTGCTGTCACAGCAATACATTACATACACACACACACACACACACACACACACACACACACACACACACACATCTGAAAAAGCTGATGAGAAACCTGGCTACACTTATGTGTGGCCAAGAAACCAGCTTTTCCCCCACAATACTATATTGTATCACATCTACGGAAAACAGGTTTCTTGGATGATATCTAAGAAATCAGATTACTTTACAAAGCTGACCGTAACCCGCAAAACCAGAATGTTATTTGCCTTTACTCAATGAAGTGTCCAGTGTGTTTGCCCTTTCTATAGAGTGCAGGAATGAGTCCTAAAACACGGAAATTAGTTCGCATTTTTGCACTTCTCTGGAAGTCAATGGGTTTTTCTTTAATAGATTTTTCCCATCATGCTCATTGCCCTCTCATTGCAGGAGTATACACAGGTTACAACACGCTGAGCATCGCACTGACTTTGCCCGACGATGGCGTTCTGGTGGCGTGCGACGTCAGTGAAGACTACGCCGAGATTGGCAAACCCTTCTGGAAAGAGGTGCCGTTCTCGTCCATGTTGAAGCCTTTGTCAAAACATTGTATTATGGCGGAGTTCAGCCAGTATGTGATGAGGCGACGACTTCAGCCCGTTCATACATTTCCTGGAATGTTTTATCTTGTGTACAGTATGTAAACCTACAGTCAGCTGTATCCAGACTGGGAATTTGACTCGTGAAAATAGCATATAGTCATATTTGCCAACATCATGCATGTAAAAACACTCATAAAAAAGACAGCATGATATGCTGCAATATATGATTTCTCATCTGTCATCAGACAACTTATCTGCTCCACTTTGACTTTTGAAAATATTCTTGTTTCTTTTTGTTTACAGGCTGGAGTGGAGCAGAAAATTGATCTACGCATACAGCCGGCACTGAAAACTCTAGGTACAGTAATACATCTTGTTCTAAAATTCAAAGATGTACACTTTTCTGATGCAAAATTCTGTTACAAAATTCATCCAAGGCGGCTTGTGTTTGCCTGAGATAACACATCGCAATGGGGTTAATATAATTAACTATTTTCCAACAGTTAAAATATCTTCAAATAGCCACACACAAGGTGAGATTTATACTTTATCTGAAGCGTTTTTAAAAAGTTAATGATGCGATTGGCTGATTTGTAAAAAAAATCTGACAGCTGACATCAATTTCCCTAATTAGATATCACGTGGCACAACAACCAGCTCCAATTTAACGAGCAATGGCGTTTTAGCTAAACCCGTTCATATTAACACAGGTGAGTTCACCTGGAACAATTAGCATACTGTAATGTTACCTGAACGTAGCATAACTAATGGCTGCATACGTTTTGCTAACTCACCAGGGTCTGCAGCTCGTCTCGTTACTCCGTCGCGGTCCATAAACATTCTTTCCGAATCAATCGAACCGGAAACACGTGTGAGCGTCGCAGCTTCTGAAGTTATGTCAACTAGAATCAACGCCGGGTGACGGTGTCGACGTATTGTTACGTAATCAGGATCACATGACCGTGTATGCGCGTGTGAGTGCGTTACTTTACTAACCACTGCCGGTATACAGTATTAGTGATTCAACTTGCATAGTAGTCATTATTAAATTAGTAAGATCAAATAAAACTCATTTAATCAAATGATATCACCAAAGATCTGCTTTAATTCTTTGATTGGTGAATGTTTCATAAAACTACTCTAAAGCTGTTTTGGTTTTTTTTTTTAGACAAATCTTTTTAACTTTTTCAGATTTATAAAATGAGAATGATCTTCATATTTTCTTTAATTTTTTTAAATTACCTTATTTCATTTTATTAGATATATAGAATGACGGTCTTTCCAAATTAGTTTCATATCCAGCAGTGTGAATACTGTTGACCAGAAGGAGATAGACATTGGGTGACAGATACAGTACATTGTTATAATGAAATGTTAAATATAACCTGAAGTAAAATGTACCTCTGTTCCTTTTGTTTCTTTCAGATGATCTCTTGTCAGATGGCCAGGCTGAAACATTTGACTTTGTCTTTATTGACGCAGACAAAGTCAACTATGACAACTACTACGAAAAGTCTCTCCAGTTGTTGAGGAAAGGGGGAATCATTGCTATTGACAATGTAAGGGCTTACTCATGGATAAATATTTAAGTTTGAGTTCTTGCAGTAGGATATTTAAACAAGCTAATCATCCCAACGTTTTTTTCTGCTCCTCCAGGTGCTGTGGGGTGGAAAGGTGTTGAATCCGACCCCCGGGGATGAAGACACTGTGGCCATCGACAAGCTGAACAAGAAGTTGCACCGAGATGCTCGAATCAACCTGAGCATGCTCACAGTGGGAGATGGGCTCACACTAGCTATTAAACTATAGGCCAGACGTCTGCTAAGTGCAGTGAGTCATGGGCTTTGGAAGGTAACTCTGTTTGTCCTTTTTTTTTTAAGTTAGGTGAACTTTTATATGAGAAATGTGACGGTAGCTAAAACATGTAATATCCTCATTGGTTTTACAGTTACAAGGAAAAGTTTGAATGAAATAGTGAAGACATTTGATTAAAAAAAAAAAAAAAAACACTGCCCATGTCACTTGTTTTTGTCGTGCATACTTATTGATTTCGTAATAGTCTCCATGCTGTGTAACTCTAGTGTTGTGTAATCACAAGAGAGGATAGCGGTTGACTTCAGGACTTTATTGCAAAGGTTAGACACACACACCAACACACTTCCTGACTAGTGTCACAGTCCTCAGAAATGGGAAGAAAAGTAGAGGATTCACTCTTGATATTCTTTCACTCAAGTCACTGAGAAAACTAAAAATCCATTTAGCATCGTCTTGCAACTTAGAAGGTATTCAAAGTAGCGGAGGTCTCTAAATCATCACACAGCATAATTAAGCCTCTAGAAAGATAAGTGAAGACGAGCCACTACATTGGCCTCGATCTCGATAAGCATGATTTGTTGGAGTAAACCCTCCAACGGGTAGACCATCACTACTAAAATACAAATAAAATGTGCAAATAAAACAAAGGAGGAAGAGCTTAAATAAAGATATAATCTACTGTGCAAATTAACAGCTCAGATTTACATTCTACAATATCACACTTCAGCAAAGTAACAAGGTTTTGGTTTTGAAAACCGTTCCATGATGCACCCGGAGGAGGGTTCACTATCGAGGATAAACTGGAAGTAACTGATAAATACACAGGATTTGAAACATGACTAGTTACTGTCACAACAATAAAAAGGGGGCTGGTGTCATGGTTTCTATTTTAACAGTGCTCGACAACTGGGGGATTGTGTTTTTATTTTTGTTTTGGCTTCGCCTCTTTAAAATATCTGTTGCTGACAAGACGGGAACACAAAGGATCAGATTCAGCTGAGATTTCTCGTCCTACTTTGAAAAGGCCGAGCAGATCCTCATGCCTCCAGCTCCAGGCCCAGGCCAAGTTTGTGACCACCGGCATTGATGTTCTTCCCGTCCACCAGTGCAGAGAGGAGGAGTTTCATACCTGAAATACAAAAAATGAATGAGTTATTGAAGGAAAACTCTTGTGTTTTTAAAATTGTATATGAGAGGAGAGATGGTTCTTACCAGGCCGGAGAGTCTGGCTGTATCCAATTCCTACCAAGCTGGCATTATTCACCTTAGCCTGGAGAAAAAGCATTAAATCATTAAACTAGTGCAGCCTGCAAGGCTACACAAGCTTCTATTTTTGTTATTCTAAAGTGGCAATAGACCATCTCTTCTTCAACCCAGCTGACACAACCATTAAGCTTTATGCAAATGAACGCACGCAATGCAACAATGTCACAGATATGCAAATGAGCGTATCTGACGTCCTACTTTTATTGGAAAAGAGTTGCACAGGATATATATATATATATATATATATATATATATATATATATATATATACTGCATTCTGTTCTCCACAGTGACTTCGGTTGTTCCACCGTCTGCCATTTCCGCTACTGGGAATAATAACTGCAAAGAACTTACATTGAGACTCTTACATAACCGGGGGAAACAAAAGCACTATGCTCTTCCTGTTTTGGTTGACGCACTTCCTTTGGCCCGTAAATTAAGCCATTATTTTTCCAGGGAGATCAGACATGAATCATTAAAGCGAGGCTTGTATGGAACCAATTCGAACACTGATGGAGTCATTGTACTAAAGCTGTTACATTGTGCAATCAACATTTACATCATAATGATGAGTTTAAGATTTTGATATACTGAATGTACTTTAAATCCAAGTAAGCATTTTTTTTTAAATCCTTACAAACACCAATCCCTTGTTCCTCGGCCTGATTTACAAAGAACTAAACTTTTTCTAGACACCCTGTTGACAAACATGGGGGGGAAACATAACTTCCTTGAGGGAGGTATACAGAAAAGAAAGACACGTACTGATATGGAGGCACTGGAGTCTAACTGGTATTTTGCAGCAATTCCAAAGCGAGTGCCGTTGCTGCCTGCAGTCCAGGCCAGATTCACAGCAGTCTCCAGTTGGTCATTAACCTTCTGGTAAATAGATCCACCAAACTCCGAACCGTCATTTCTGAGAGGAAGAAAGAAATGAGTAACATCGCATGTCAGTACAAGCTAATTGTGTTACGTTACTCATCTCGCTTGGTTCGAATGCTTGATGCTAAAAACGTACACATTGGTGTGGAGCTGGAAGTCTCCGGTCTGGTAACCAACTGAAAAGTTACTCTGAGCCATCTTTGATTTGGCCGAGTCAAAGGTCATCTGGTAGCCGGCCAGCCAGCCCTCGTAGCCGGCTACTGCTGCTCCGTGGATCGTAGGACCGGCGAAATCTAAATCCACATCAACACCGACATTAAGGTATTCCCTTTTGTAAGCAGTCTTGACCTTGCCGCTCTTCTTGCTGTTGAATTTAAAAAAGAAACGTGAGGAAGTGGCGTCAGAAGGACGTACTTTATACAATGATAGCATGCTGTGGTTTTACGATTACAAAGTGTAGCTTACCCGGTATTTGGCGAAAATGTAGTGTCAAAAGTAAGCTTCAGCCCTTTGGTGATCTAAAGAGGATCATTCCATCAGTCACACTTCATTTAGAGCTTAAGTGGGGTGATAAGCAACATAGCAGAGGTTTCAATTTACCTGATCCTCAACACAAATTTCAGTTCCAAGTGTGTTTTCCGTGGTCCACTTCTCTGTGAACGTCAGCCCGTACTCTGCCCACTTATACTTGGTCTCCAGGGCTCCGGTGACCTTGCTGGTGTCTACATTGGACGAGCCGGACGTTTTAAACTCCTAAAAAGGGAAAACAAGAGGAAAGTGATCCTACCTATAAAAAATGTACAGCAAGATGGAGTAGTTCCTCCACAAACAGCGGAGAGACTTAACAAATGGTGGACCGCGGTCTTGAGTTGAATCAATCAATGAGAATAAATAATATTATTTACGGAGGGTTGGTTTTCTGATGGCTGCAGCTATAGACCACAGGCACAGCTGATCCAGATTAAAACATAAATAGCTTTACTCCTCTGAGCCAATCAGATCAATAGTTTACCATCTCTAGCACCAGACTAATCTAACCAAAAAAGCTCTACACACCTTGATGTTTGGATCGATTTACAGGTGTGAGTCAGCATTCTCCACTATGAACATTAATTAAAACCAGGCTCACCAATGAGTACCTACACACTAACTAATGGCACTAACTGCATTCAAGTCAAAAATAAAGAGAAAAGAGGGCTACTCAAAGCTCTGTAGGGCACCTTTATTTTTGTTTTAGGAAGATTCTGTCTTGTTTTGATAATACCTGCAATGCACTGCTGTATGTTTAAAGTCACAGCTGTACTCACCACTCCAGTTGAAGACTTTGTCTTCACATCAAGCTTAACCATCCCAAAACCTGCAAGGAAAGTGAAAGTGAGGAACCAACGTTACTTAATGGGCGTGGAAATACATTTCAAAACAGCCGGCCTATCCTCTGAGGTTCAATAAATACACACTCCTAAAACTGTCTTTTATCTTGCTTCCAGTTACCATATCCCTTATTGAATATGTCCTTTGCTGATTTTCCAAGGTCTGCATATGTTGGAGGAACTGCCATTTCTCCTGTCACAAAAAAAAAAAAAAGTACAGAAAAGTCAGAAAATAATCTCTAAAAACTGTTGAACAGTTATAACACCTTAAAATGTTTGCATTGTGAAACACCTGCACCAACTACTTATTTTATATATAT